ACATACAGAGAATTCATTGTTAGAAAATTATCATCGTTTTACACAAAGATCATTCATTTAGTATACCTTGTTTAAAAAATCCCATCTAAGACAATTCTCAATCTACGGTATAATCATTTGATTTCTATTTGATGTAATCTATATTTTCAGGAATCATCATCACCTGTATCAATCGATGTATCCACAAAATAGATGTTGCAAATCGTATTCAAGTATTAAAAAAGCACTCTAGTTACGTATTGAATCATATTTATACTGAGTAAAGAATGACCAACTATATTAATCTTTGATAAGTATATATATGACTCAATAAAATTGTCCATAGAGTATAACAGAAATTTCCATTATTAACTCAATAACTCAGTATATTTGCTTACATACTTATAACAGGGGAAATAAATAATTTATAAGGTTTTCATTAATGTACTTGTTATTTGAAGTTTTAGAATGATTGAATTAGAATAGATGTCACAATATGTATCTATGAGTTAATTTACAGATAATTAAACTTTCTTTTAGTTTGAAATTATTATTTTTCCTCAGTAACAAAAGTAAACCATTTATTTCATTGTAATCACGAACCGATTGAAGTTGGATCACCATTGAAAATTTGAAGGAACTAGATGGCCGTTTTATCCTCGTATAGAACTTCTAATAAATGTAGATTCATTACCCTACCATTAAAAACTGTACCCGGATCCAAGACCTTCAGTATCGCATACGAACGCTTAACTTCTAGACCACTGAGCTTGGATCCAATGATGTATGGGTTTAACTCCAATAAATTCTTGACATAAAGTGGCAATCTTCTACTACCTGAAATGGAAATCTGTCTCATACTAAACATGGTTGGATATAACTAGTCACGATTTTTCACCAGAACTCTGGAAATTCCCTCTCAAAGCCCATCGCTAGTGAGGATATGATGATTATCAATATGGGGTTATAAAAAAATCTCATTCTATTTCAGAGGCTATTATCACCTGAAGAAAAATTAAGGTGTCATGTTTAAAAAGAAACCCTAGCTAATTTCCAGCATTAATCATTAGACTCATGGTACTGTATCTGCTTTCGGTATCTTTAAAATATATTATAGCAAAAAACCGTATGACAACTCAGTATGACATACTTTCTACTCGTCTATTTTCAATTATCAATTTATAGTTATTCTGAGTTACTTTTGTTTAATCTGGTTGGCGTTTTTTGGAAAGATTTTTTTCTACGGGATGTGGTTGTTGACCCTATGCCCAATCCTCCCTCTTTACCCGGACTTGGGACCGGCAGTAACGCTAGAAGAGCTGAAGGCGGAGTTAGAGCTGCAAGCGAACAAACGCAGATTAAGACAACTAGTGTAGCAGCATCCTCTGCATTAATAGGCCTCAATATATAAAAAGGAAAAAGTAGGTTCCTCAAATACAACACGGAGAACATCAGTCCAATCGCACTTGGTGGAGAAACTCTGGAAGACGTGAAATCTTTCACGTACCTGAGAAGCATCATTGATGAACAAGGAAGATTGGAAGCAGACGTAAAGGTGAGGATTGGCAAAGCAAGGGCCACATTCCTACAGTTGAAGAATATATGTAACTCAAAACAACTGTCAGTCAACATGAAAGGCACGATTTTCAATACGAAAGTCAAGACAGTCCTACCGTACAGAGATGAAACGTGGAGAACTACTACAACCATCAATAAGAAGGTACAAGTATTTATAAACTGTTGTCTACGCAACATATTCAATATCCGTTGACCGGATACCATCAAAAACAGCCTTCTGTGGGAGAGGACAAATCAGCTTCCAGATAAAGAGGAAATTAGGAAAAAACATTGGAAGTGGATAGGACATACATTAGGAAAATCACAAAACTGCATCACGAGACAAGCCCTAACTTGGAGTCCTGAAGGGAAGCGGGAAAAAGGAAGACCAAAGGACACAATACGTCAGGAAATGGAAACAGAAATAAAAAGAATCAATAGCAACTGGAAAGGATCGCCCAGGACAGGGTTGGATGGAGAGTGCTGCTAGGAGGCCTATGTTACTCTAGGAGGAGTAACAGGCGTAAGTAAAGTTTTCATTTATAAAATATTTAAACCACTCTATGTATGATCAGATTGTTCGACTCAACGTAACATAAATAAATCAGATTTTTCATATTAAATCCATCTTCTTATTGCTCTATCATAATATTCAAATGCCTTAAAAATTTTTGTGTATTATTCACTGTTCAGTATGTTGTTTTTTATTTAGTTATTTCTAAATATGAACTTTATCGTTTTGTTTCCCTAATTACTGATGTTACTACATCAACCGGTGAAATTCCTTTTGACCTACATTAGATAGACCTAAAAGTATTATTATTATCATTATTGTTATGTTCACTATATCATTTCCTGTTTTAACACATCCGGTAGGTAAATATTTACGTAAACATATGAGCATATATAATAATATAACTAAACTCCCCGTAAAGTACGACTTTTGTCTTACGCCTCTTAACCGAAAAACTATCAATGTGTAGTAACCTTGAATGAAAGCAACAAAAGTATACTAACATGAAGTATTCAATCACTGTCTAATTGTTCATCTATATTATCTTATATCTTTTATTATATTAGAAAATTGAAATGACATTTACACCGCAAAGGATTAATATGACTTTCAAGCTGGTTTCAGAGAATATTTCCTTCCGCTTACATTAAGACAATACGAAAATCCATACATAATTCACTTGTTCAATGACTTTTGTCATTCCTCCTACATTTTACGCCAAGATAACCAACTACATCACTGGCAATTCTCAAAAGGAGAGATGGTGAACAGAATTTGAAAAAAAACCAAAAACTAAAGACAAACACAAGCTTTTTGCTTATCCCTTTCAATCACCGGACATTTAGATAAACCTGTTTCTTTACAATCTGTCGATAGCAAATATTCTGTCTCATAAAGAGAAAACACATATGAAGTGATGTACAAGATTAATGTGTAGCGAACTAAGCCGATGATAAACTGGTTTGATAACATCAATGAGACTGCATCATATGGACGACGTTTGAGCGGCGTTAAAGTGACCTTAAGAAAACATACCAACTTACTGTGGTCAAAAGAGAGTTATGATTCGCATGAACAATTTGTATTAGTATTCAAAGTTGAAAGTTAGGGTTAGGAATTGAAGTAAGAGTTTTCAGCGGGAACAAATATCAAATATAATTGCAAAATACTACTTAGCCATATGGATGAATATATTTCGTACCAAAATTCATGACTTGTTATCTTTGATTTTCTGGTTTCGTTCATAAATTATGGTTTCTTCAATACTACTTCAGTGACTAATTTTAACATGAATAATTCAAAATCAAGCATGTGACCCTAAAATGCATCTTTCACCGTTTATTTCCTAATGATCTATAGAAACTTCAAATCAATACGCAAGGATTTATGGAGATTGGAATTTTCATGATTTAAATCATGAACTGATCTCGAAAACTTTATAGCATCGAACAACTGTTTCATTTAAATATAAGAGTTCCTAGCAGTGCACTTTCACAACCCCGTCTCAAGAAATAGAATCTAGGGCCCTCAGTTTGGCAAGTGAACGCTCAAGATCTACTCGGAATCCGACAGAGTTCAACCATGTCAAGTGTAAGACCGTTACCTTTATGAGGCAATTAATGAAGATGGTTCAGTATTGTGAATTAATTTAAACATCCACGCCATTAAGTGCTGAGCCAGTGGTCTAGATTCTTTGTGGTGGCGTCGATGATGTTGACAGGACGAAACAGCTGTTCAGTGTTTTCGCTTTTTCAAACGTAATTTCATTAAAATCAGTTAGGTATTAATAAGTCTGCTTGCATCAAAAATACCTCCTACTAAAATATATCATTAAAAGGTATAGTTTATAGTTCGATAACATAGATGCTAACTGGTGAACTTCTCTGATTAAACCAGAATGATCTATATATTCAGAAAACTTTCTTTTTATTTGAATACAATTTATTATTTTTATGTCAAGTCACTCTCCAAATTATTTTCTCATATTGTCTGTGACACTCTCATTTGTGAACTACTTACATAAATTGTTTATCTGATGTATAATTTATCACAGACCTACGGTAAACTAATTAGATTCGATTACCTCAAAAATAAATAAGTGTTTTGGTTTGATTCTTATCTTTATGTTGACTTAAGTCATTTAGCCAATTACATCTGTTTTATTGAACAAATCTGTTTAATCATGATTATTTTACACTTTCTTCCAACGGTTTATAAAGCACCGAATAGGTTTTAAAAATTATAAAAATGGCTGCTTTGTCAATAAGGAGTACAGAAATGCAGATACTCCTTCTAAAACTTTGAGTACTTGTGCAGACGATGAATGGTAACTGCTAGGAATCATTTATGGACCATTATTATATACACTCTTATTGGATAACTACTAAGTAACTATATGATAGGTATAATAATGTTCCTTTTATTACGGGCTTCCACTTGATCTATTGATTACTACTATATGATTTAATATTCTTAATTTATGTCTAATTTATTAGCTACAGTCTCTTAAACTCACAGCTGATTTTGGGCTTGATATTTTATGGTATAATGAAGTCTGGTTGCTTGTACAACCAAATATGTCTGAAATATATAATTGATACGGTGGAAACTGAGATTGTGTTCTAGACTCAAACGGACAGGGCTAGGCAAGAAGAACCAATAAGGACTCAGAGTTGACTCTAGACTGCTCGTACTGGTTAACGTGTCATTGATTTGGCATAGTGCCAAAGTCGTATAAGTTAGTGTTTTGATCGGCGATATAGTCACGCAATAATTGACGGGCTTTAAAACATAACAAATAGTAAATGTTGATTCTAACTATTGTCATTTGGACAAAGTTTATGAAATCAGTAAGTGAAGAAAACAAAACGAAACAAATACTATGTCATATTTAATGTCTAAACTAATCATCTTTTTATTCTATATTTTATTTTTATACTTCATTTTGTAGTTATGCTCATTTTTACAGTGAAAATGGAACTAACTATCGAGATTTGATAAAAGCTTATGGTATAAGATTTGTTATTCATGTTAGCGGTGAAGCTGGTAAATTTCATCTTCTCCCATTGACAATGAATATTGGTTCAGGTTTAGCTTTACTCGGTTTGGTAAGTAATTTTAAATAATGAAATATACATAATGTTTTATGGGCTTTAATAACTAGTGGTTTATATATTTTTTTAATGATATTAATGTTAAATAGCTTGTGAAAAAACTTTCATGGCTTTAGCATCGTTTATCGTTATCATGTGTTAAGGTCATGAATTGTAATTTTTTCCAATACGCTTTGTTCAGTATTTCGTCTACGGCTTTCTTCCAGACTTAATCAATTACATGTCTGGTCTTCACTATCAGGATTGAACAAAACCCAAGCTGAGCTCCTATAGATCCGTTATACTCTTTCCTTTCTCTATCCTATACCGTGGATCCAAAAATTTAGCAGTCAGTTCCTATTAAACCCAACTCAATCATGACTCATACAATACACATCAAAGTATATTAAAAAATTACACTAATTGCATAACAAAGCTATAAACGGGAAACAATGAAGTTATAGGCCCGTAATAAATCAATAATGTAGAAAACGTTTAACATACAATACCAGTTCATGTATCAACGAAAAGCTTACAAGCCGGAGAATACAAAGCAACACAAAAATTCAAGTATTTATGAATTAAAGAATAAAAATATAAACACGATCATCTCAAGTAGGACAGTTCTGGAAGTTCATCTTTCCCAGGACTTACCTCGTGATAACAAAAATGTATTTAAACAAAATGTTAATGCGAAAAATGTATTTGAAATAATCTCAATGATTGAAGTTTAAATAATCTCAACATTTCGTTCAACAAACATGTCTGGGCTTGTTCAGAATAATCATTTTTCGATTGCATACTATTACTTTCATTATTTTGTTTATTCTCAAACCGAGTTTATCCAACCAAATTAGAACTTAAATTAAGTAGTAATAAAGTATAATCACATTACAACAGTTGAGATCATCAGTCAACTGAAGCTAGACCGCCATGGAAAACCTGAAAGCATTGGACGGCCGTTTCGTCCTATTGTGGGACTATTCAGCAGTGCGCATCATATTACATTGTTTCATATGAATGAAAGGGAACCTGAACAAATAAATCAGGATACATTTTACCTGTAATAAATATTGACTTGTAGTTATTTTTTTAACAATTAATCCCTTTGATAAATTTGAATAATCCAATGAAAGACAAAGGTTATCAAACTTACGGGATCTATTTACGTGATATATATTCGACATAATATTTTTGGTGCAATATAGGATTCTCTGCACAAAGTATTTCAATAAGTTTCCGTTTGTTATTTCTTGGTCGATCCTGACGATAACTATTGAGTGATCGCTAGTTAGATGTTATCAGGGATCGACATTTGAATAATGTACATTGTTTTGGATGTATGTTGCCAGCCACCACGCTGTCTCTGATTCTGATTTGTTGTAACTTGTATAGCGAAAAGTCGTAAGCATTTCATCTGAATAGATTATGAGATTAATAGACATAATGATGTGTTAAAACGAACAGAAAAAGAGATAACTTGTTGAACTATCTAGATGGCAAGAACAGGTAGAACAAATACTCAAGCAGGCCGCCAATATATGATTACTTATTTACGCCTGCTATTCCCAATGGAGCATAATCCGCCGATCAGCATTCTCCAACCCACTCCGTCCTGGCCCTTCGTTTCTAGTTCTATCCAACTGTTTTTCATTCTTCTCATATCTGTCTCCATTTCGCGGCATATTGTGTTCGTTGGTCTTCCTCTCCTCCTTTGGCCATCGGGATTCCATGTGAGGGATTGCCTTGTGACGCAGTTGGGTGCTTTCCTCAATGTGTGTCCTATCCACTTCCTATGCTGATACCTAGTTTGTTCTCTCTCACATTAGGCTGTTGCCGATAGTGTCTGGTCAACGGATCCAAAGTATTTAGCGTAGACAACTGTTAATAAACACTTGTATCTTCTGGATGAAAATAATACATTTCAAATAATCTGATCAGACAGTATATTTATTCACAGTATTAATAAATGAAAAAAAGGACAATTCAATAAATTACAAGGTAAAAGAAAACAAAATTAATAACAAAGTGCACAACAACAACAACACGAAAACATAAATTATCATATAAATCAGTATTACCAGGATAGTAGGGTAAGGGTAACAACAAATTGTTTTTAAACAAGTCAAAGAGATTTCAGTTTTCATATAATCAATCAACACATTTATAGAACGCTACAAAAACCTTATTTAATATCAGCCTTATAACCGGTCACAACTAAATGTTTCATAACGTAGGAAAATATTTGTCTATCCAAGTAATTTTGTATTGTCAATAACCGATTCAATGGAAAATCAGTATGAATAAGAGGTCATATTTATGTTAGTAGTATGATTGGTCATCTTAGATTTACATATTATTTACAAAATTATCAAATTGTGATCGAGGAGATTTGTGTAACCTTGACAAATCCAAACTTTTATTATTGTTATTATTACTAAGATTTTACACAGTACTATAAAGAAAGAAGCCCAAAAACTAATGTCACCCATCCAATAAGCGCACACACACAACATTTTAAACGATTGGTTGCTAAATATTACATATAACTAATATTAGGAAAATACAAATGTAGATATTTACACAGAACTACTACTACTACCACCATTATTACTATTATTATTATTACTACTAAATGTATAATGTATGTCATTTTGTATAAAACTTAGACTACATTAATACAGAAGATTTATTTTATTTATTTAAATACAAAGAGGCACCGAATACATATGCGTCACACAAGTCACTTGATTTGTGTGTGGGCTGTGATACTTTACGGGTACCCAAACCGTAGCAGGTCGTTTTCTTGAGGCGCCACTCCTGAAGCCTTCGACTTAAAGATTGATCTACAAGGCAGTGGAGCAACATCAGGAGATGCAGTCCGATGGTAGCCGGTGACCAATAATTGGTTCATAAGCCATTTGTTCTTTCAGGAAACTAGAGCCCATGTGCACTATTGATTTGGAATCGGGGTTTCCCAACACCCGTAGATGGATCCTCCTTAATCCACTAACCCGGTCTAAGAGCCGGAATGTATAGCGCTAATATATCACCACATAGTTTTGATAATCTTCGTCTTCTTCTTACACTATCGAAACATAGTAATGAATTAAGAAAAATTAACATTTTTATTATTAATAACTCTTTGTTCGAATTAGTTTTAAAACTATTCAATAAAATTACCTCCGATCTTTTTAAAAACTCTATTTTAATCCATTTCATTTTTAAAGTTATGAAAGTGTTACTAAGGCAAATATTTTCAATATTCATATAATACACAAAAGAAAGTGTTTTTAAGTGTGTGTGTGTGTGTGTGTGTGTTTACGTCTTATCCTGATATATAGATCTATCTCTATGCCGTATAACTGTAGCAACAATAAAAACAACAACGACAACAAGAACAGCAACAAAAAGATGATAACAAAACATTGTTTTAGTAAATTCCTGTAGAATCTGCTTTTTTTCCTTTAAGATTCGATTATGAAATCACTGGAAATATTAATCATAACTTTTTTGTCGGTAATACAACAAGTAAATTAGAGGTAAGGCGTATAGTTAATAAAAGAAAAATACTACAGATTTAATTGTTCATTACTAATGTCCATTTGGAAATTGATTTACAATTATTATTGCCTATTACCTTGATTATACTTGTTTTAGGCGCCAACTGTCTGTGACATAATTGCATTAAATCTTTTAAGATCAAGAGATATTTATCAACGTGCAAAATTTGAAACAATTGCTGAAGAACAAGCTCATTTATCTAGTCGTCGTGCTGATAAAGCACAACGTAAAAAATATGGTTTATCTAAACGGAATACAGATACAGTAAATGAAAATTCAGATGAAAATGGTAAAATTATACAATGGAAAGATGATCAAGAATTTATAGTAAATGATACAAAAACTATACATTCATCAACATAATCATTGAATAATTGTAAATTCAAATGGAAATGGTACGTTTTTTTTTTTGTTGTTGTTTTTTCTCTCTGAAATGGTCTCACTCATCTTACATGAAACTGTTGAAACGTTGAAAGACAATGTAATCGAAGCGATGAAGTATATATACATATATGTATAAGATAGGATCATTTCCTTCAATCTTTATTCATATCTTTTTAATTGTTATTCGCTCGTACATATTTGACGTTAGCTCAAATTATATCTTCACTTCTTTAACTATTGGTGGTTATGCTTTTGGTTTTTTAAAAATTCCAATGTGATACATGACAATCATTTACATTTTTAACATCTACATTCATATTTGTTTACAAACTATCACTAACATAAAGTAAAAGGATTAACATACATGAAAAGTTATATCATACTTCTAGATCTGTTGTAAATGCTTACAAATTTTCATTAATTATTGTCATTTGTCTGCTTTGAATGTGTTCCCTTTTGTTTTGTCTTGTTCTTTTCTGTTTTGTATTCAACAATTTCTATTCGGTTATCTGTTTTCATTTATAATAAATTAATGTATTTCATTCCTGTTAGAAATTATTTGTTGAGAATGAACAACATTGCATTTCCCTCAGCAATCACCACCATCCACGCCCCACCCCCAAAAAAACACAACGAAAACAAAAATGGATCCATTTCATCAGAATGTGAAAATATTCAAATATCAATTGGTTACTATCATCTTAAGAAATGATGTCCATTTAGCGCGCGAAAAAAAGGATTTTGAAAATAACCAGTATTTTCACATTTATATGCTTCAATTTAAAGTTATTGAGAAACTTTTTTTCTTAAATGATAAACTAACAAATTGGAACTATTCATTTGAAACTTTCACTACGTTCACTTTGATGTAACTTTATTATGTTTGTTTGGTGAAAGAATATAATTTGTGATGTTTCTCTCTCTCTTAATTCCTTAGTCTTTTTTTTATTATAAAATTATTTTACAAACATTATCTATGATAATCTTAATGTATTATGCATTTGTCAAAAGTACACATCTGTGAATTATTATAAGTATATATACATAGTCTAAATCATGAAATAATCTTAGCTAGAACACTACTGAAAACCTGAAAACTTTGGACGGACGTTTCATCCTCGTATGAGACTCTTAAAAAGTGAACATCCAGAAATCTACCACGGGGAATCGAACCTAGAACTTTCGGTCTGTCATGCAAATGTTTGACCTTTGGATCACTAATCTGATATCTGATGTTGTGAGTGTCCAGCTTCAATCAAATCATGATATTGCACAATCGTCATCTATCGTCTACAGTAAATAACAATATCACATCTGATATGGTTGAACTCTATTGGTCACAGCTTCGTACTAGATTTCCTGGAGTTGCATCTTGAAACTAGTGAGCACATGATTATTTTGAGTATTTATGTATATGTCACGTGTTTTCTATATATAATTCCTATTCGAAAAAGAAATATTTTTGATTTATTTTGATCAGTAGCTGGGGCATATTTGCGTAATCCAGTCCAAACTGATAGGTGATAACTTCTCTGGATGGAACAATATGTAATATCGCTATGAATCCAGCGGAATTATCGGCTGTAACATAAACGTACGTATACCTTACTAAAGAATACCAGATAGTACGAATTTAACTTGACGATTTCCTATCGACTGATATCATCCGTTTAACGTGGATTACCTTTCGTGAAACATTTGCTTGATTAAAAAAGCGCTATTTTTAGAATTTAATGGATGTCATACATTGAGGAAAAAGAGGAAAATTCCGTAAATCTTTAATAACCAATTTTATCCACACTGAATACAATTATTTAAAATCGTATGTAGGTAACTTCTGCAGAAAAATTATTACATAGCACTTTCAATAAAAAATTTATATCAGACAATGTAACACACAAATGAACTGAAAACAAACAGTGAATCTGACTGATATATAACATACAACAGTGATTATTATCAGAAAGAGGTTTTAGTGGATATTATAGTAATTTTAATAGTTGAGTTCATGAGTCAATTGAAGCTAGGCCGCCATGGAAAATCATGTAGTCGCTGGATGGCCGTTTCGTCTTATAGTGGGACTCCTCAACAGTGCGCATCTACGATCCCGCCTCAAGAGATTCGAGCCCAGGACCTACAGGTTTCACGCGCGGATGCTTAACTTCTAGACCGCTGAGCCACTCAGCATCCAACGGTGTTAATGTCTCATTTCAACCAAAAATTATCAGTGATTGATACAATTAGGATTTATTCTTTTGTAATCTTTATCTATGTATTGATTTGCTCCTAACTAATTAGGTTTAGTAAATGCATAGAAAAGATACGAGAGATTCTTCACTAGTTGAGGAATATTTTCACAGCTTTTCTTAAATTTTGTATATTAACGCCCAGGGGGACCATTATTCCAGTAGTGTGTAACTTTTAGAGGGCAATACGAAGTCTCTGCAACAATTCTTTTCAGCATAACACAAATTAAACGATCGGCATGCTCGCGATGTGAGAGATGAATTGGATCAATTCATTAACTAGTATAAATTAATGAGATTTATTAAATACGTACATATAAAAGGATGCGAGTGAGTCATCAAACACGTTAAGAGTGAAAAAAGTATATGGGTGGGCTGTAACAAGTGACCAATCACATCTATCTATGTACGCGTGCAAACATATTATGTAGACGAATATCCTTAAAACATCTGTGGCTTAAATTTATCATTCATATACGCCCCCGCGACGATAAAAACTTTTTCACCCCTTTCCCCTTTTGCACTCCTCGAACTTGTTGTTTAATAAAGAGGAAGAATGTATTTGTAAGATCTCAGAGAAAGAATTGGAATTAAATCCAACGTTTCGCCTGGCAATCTGGTCCAAGCTTTTGCAAAGAAAATATGATATAATTGGTTGGCTTACATTAAACTGACTGTGGATTTTTTTTGTACTTCTATTGATAAATGAGGGTATGACCATCAATAAATAGGCTTAGACTACAATTTATGGACGAACCAATGAAATCAACGATAACAAGTCATGAATTTTGGTACAAAACTCATTCATTCATATGGTTAAATAGCGTTTTAGTATTTTAGCTGATGTCAGTTCGTGATGGGAACCGTAAATGTAATTCTTAATCCTAACCTCCAACTCTAAATCACAAACGTAATTCTCCATATGAAATATAACCCTATTATGACCATAGGAAGTTGACATATTTTCTCACGGTCAATTTAGCGTCGCTCAAAAGTCGTCCATATATTATAGTCTCCCCATACTTTGTGATTGGTTTTAGTGTTATCGAAATACGTGCTCGCTTTGTCCAGGTGAACATTATTTTTCGCTAAAATGATCATTTAATTAATTATAAATCATTACACAAATTGAAATCATAATTCAATTGAAGCTAAACCACCATGGAAAACCTGGGAGCACTGGACGGCTGTTTCGTCCTAGTATGGGACTCCTCAGCAGTGCGCACACACGATCCGACACCACTAGATTCAAACCCAGGACCTATCGGTCTCGCATCAGGCGCTTAACCAACTAGACCACTGAGCCGGCATCCAATGGTGTTAATGTCTAACTTCAACCAATCCACAAAGTTGCGCCATCGTATACCATTGTCTTGGCTCAGTGGTCTAGTTGGTTAAGCGCCTGGCGCGGAACTGATAGGTTTTGGGTTCGAATCTCTCGGGGTGTCGGATCGTGGATGCCCACTGCTGAGGAGTTCCATACTAGTTGTACTAAACAATATGTAAAACATGTAGTAAAAAATAAATACTAACGGGATGGCCATTTTAACCTAGTATGAGATTCGTCAGCAGTGCTCATCCACAATCCCACACACAGGACTCGGATCGATTTCGCGCGCCAACGCTTAACCTTGGGTTGGCATCCAAGGGTGTTAATGTGTGATGAGGAAACTCATACTAGAAAGAATCGGTCATCCAATGTTTCTAGATTTACAGTGATGGTCTAACTTACATAGACCCATGAATTCAGCTTTTAAAATCACCACAATCTCCACAAACACTCATTCTAATAATAATGTAAAAGTAAATCACTAATAATAATTATTGTCATTAGTTAAAATAATGTCTTAAGCTGTATACAATCAGTAATGATGTCAATGAGACGATATTCAAGTAAGTGACTTATGATTTTGACAATTTAACATTTCATGAAATGAAATAAGATGAAATGAAAGTATTCGTTATCCACTAGTTTTTATTCAATGAACATTGTATGTTATCTATGGATAGTGTGTGAATTAATAGATGTTTATTTTAATCATAACAAAACCACAGTGTTTAAACAAACATGTTCATACAAAAAAGGTCGTGATGTTAGGTTTTTTCGGAAATGGAGTGAATGATGTAATAGTTATCATCTATTTAACTGAATTAAAGATAACTGGAAAGAATGTAAAAGTGTGAGTAAACTTTACCTTGACAAATTATCTTTAATATCTGGATATTGTGAAGTAATAATTAACAAATAATAATAAAGGATTTGAAGGTTTAATGTATGTGATGAACCTAATTAGTTTACAGAAGTATCCAAGTGGAATTGTAAAGTTAGTTGAGTTGTATTTATAAACCATTATTCTCTTTCCTGTTATGAATGTACCTAGTTAGTTCACTGAAAACTTTGTTTACCGTAAAGTTGACCAAACTATGAATGGTAACCTCAAAAATACTAAACAAAATTATGTAGCTCATCAGGAGAATATTTTTTGGACAGGTTGATAGTTATTGTAATAAGTTTGCAAATGAATAAGAAGTTTGATGTATATTTTTCCGACTATAATAGATAAGTTTATTTTTATAATTAATCTAGTAACAGAACTTTTAGTCTAAATATTTTAGTGTATTAAGCCTTTGAAATATTTTTAACGAAATCAATGGTAAACTTCTAGGAATCTCACTGGAAATGATGATGACATTAAAGCCTCGTATGTTCAAGGGTATTTCGTCACGATATATACTCTTTATTAACAGCAATTGTAAATTGTACATAGGTGAAACGACGTTTAAAAAACCCATCCATAAACTTCCAGATTTAAAGGTTAAGTGTAATAAGAAAGAAAATTATGTTATGGTAACGAATTTCTAAATCAATGTAACATAATATTGTTTCGATTGCAGCAACAATACTAACCATAAGATTGGTAGTACGTAAATATAATGTATAGTCAAATCATAATCCAATGGGTATTGAGTTAAGTAAACAAACTCGATACATATACAAGTAGAGATCTTGGATATTCTATTCTGTTATACCATATATTTAACACCCAACTTTATAAAGTAGGAACAAAAATCAAACCAATGGGAGACATAACCAAAGCAAAGGAGTAAACAATGACAAATTTAAGGTCAATAAAAACCAATCAACGTCAAGATGTGCAGAACAAGCTGTGAAACGCATATGGAGAAATTCGAACACTTCACTTCCATCTGAAGTTTGTGTTGATGGTGTCGTTCGGATGAACGATGAAAGCTCCACGACCAAACCATCCAGCTCAGAGAACAAAACTCCATCAAAATCATCCACCTGAGCTACAAATCTTCTCCAATATCTCAGTAGTGCAAATTCACATTTTTTTAATTTAAAGGAAGTATGAACGGACAATATTTGGTTTCCATTTAGTATCAAGAATAATACAAGATAATAACAAACGATCAATGGAAAGTATACATAATTTGTTTTAAAGTACTTTCGTCTAATAATAATATGGAAAAAAACCTGGAAGCACTGGACGGCCGTTTCGTCCTAGTATGGGACTCCTCAGCAGTGCGTATCCACGAACCCGCACCCCGCGGCAAATCAATATTCTATATAAAAAAACATATTTTCGCACAATTCTGTGAAGATACAATTGTATTGAGCCATAATCTTAATAATATGGATGTTGGTTACTTTTAATCAAGTAAATGTTATTCACTGAGCCCGTATCAAGAAGTGTTAATTTCTAACTTCAATCGATGCACAGTATTGGGCAATTATCCTTCATTGTCTTCACGCTTGACATGGTCGAACGCCGGTCATCAGGGCTACTCACTAGGAATCCAGGAATTAATGCTCGAAGCTATTCACAAGTGATCACATGATAATTGTCAATATAGGGCTATGGATATTGTTAAGCTTCATTGAAATCATGAAATGATCAATTTTAAACCATCATTGAAAACCTGGGAACACTAGATGTAAGCTCAGTGGTCTAGTGGTTAAGCATTCGCACGCGAGACCATAGGTGCTGGGTTCGATTACCGAGTGCAGTGTCTAATTGATGGCCGTATCACGTGATATAGTTAATCGGGTATAAAGACATAACAAATTCAATACTTCATTTATAAAAAACTAGTAGGTCAACCAGAACTATTTAATAATAATATAATATATTCTGAAAATAATGATTACAGAATTCATGCCAGTTCACAGTCATGATCAACTAGA